GTCAGGAATTTGTACTCAAATGTTCTGAAAGATTCACAAATTCTGAACGTGTTTAGATCATGTGCGGCCATAGATACACAGAATTTGTAGGAGTGAAGAGGTTTTCTTTTTGCAGTGCTCTGTTATAACCAGCTAAAGTGTCTCTCACGATGTATTACTCTAAAGTGTCAGAAAAGCAACAAAGAACAAATCATAGCCAGAGCAGAGACGAAGATATTAAAACCATAATTCAGCCACAAAGTTGACAGAGCAGGATGAGACAGTGAAACCATGGCACCGTTAGCACGTAACCGAAGCTGCTATGTGTGTTTAAATGTGCTCTGCCTGAATAAAATTGCTTGTCCTTACAACAGGGTATGACTGTTGTTTTGGTCCTTTGCAGCATCAGGGAGCGTTAAACACAAGAGCAGACTTGTGTCTAAAAGCAAAAAACGTCTAGATAAGATGACCTTGATCTAGGCTGATAGAATCCCAGGAGTTATGGGGGCTTCATTAAAAACTTAACAGTGAGGCTGTTACTGAAACTTTATTCTCTTCCCTCTCCAAATAAATGAAATACTGACAAAATCTCCTTAGCTGGCTGGTGTGACGTGCCAGCCGAAGTGTGTCTGTATCGCTGGCTGCCTTCCTGGCAGAGCCTGCGGGTTGGTTCTCGGAGCTGCTGATCTGCTCGGCGTTGCCCAGTCGAGGACAGGCCGAGGTTGGGTTCCACCTGGGCTGTTCTGCGCTGGTCATGCACGTCTCATAATCTTCTAGGTAGATCCCTAGTAAAATTTCAGTCATCTCCTACAAATTGCCTCTGCTGCTAGACTGTTCTGAAGAGATCCCTACTTCCAAATTAGAACTGTAAGGACTGAAGGGTACATATTCCTGGCTCTCCATGGCAGCTCTTACTGCAGCTCCATGCGGTGGCGAAACATGGATTTGGGTTGTAGACCCTTTCTGTTCTGGTTGCTGGTTCAACTCCTGGTCATAACAGTATTAGTTTAAAATTGTTGTAATGCAGTAATGGTTCAGTGAAAGCAGTTGAACAAGCTAGAAGTGTGAGTGTAGTACTTACTAGATACATGCACGTGATTAATTCAGGCCATGAATTGGGAAACCGTTGTGGTGATTGTATGGAAAGACTGTCGCTGGTGACCTGATAGCTACAGCAGGAGACAGGCCATCCCAGCGTATTCTCTGAAGAACAGACTCACATTACAACAAATCCTACAGGGTTTGCTCTGCGGAGACAACCATTACCTGGCTTCCTTGCGGGGAGTTTCTGCAGAGGAGCCACAGTGTGACAGGGCTAGTTTGCTCCCTAAAGGCGATGGATAACAGTGGGATTAAAGACCCCTGGCAGAAGGTTGCGGGTAGTGAGGGCCGATTTATTAATCTGCTAAAACAATTTGCCATTTCCTTTTAATGCTAGTCTGCATTGAAGATCAGATAGCACTTACACTTGAAAATGATGAGTATCAGGGACAGGCCTATAACAAAATAAAAGTGTGATAAAAAATGAAAAATGAAACTGTCAGGAGATATTACAGTTTTAATGTTTGCACTGAAATGAAAAAGCCAAACATCAGTGATGAAAGGCAAAGTAAATATTCTAACTTCTGTGGGCTCAGTCCTATCATGCATTCTGGAAATCTGGATGTTGTTTTAAAAGAAATTAGTTATGATGATACGCCTTTAAACGCTGGCAACGGCAATCCTCTATCTTATGGGAGAGGTTTGACTTGGGGGTGAAAGGCACCGTTCTCACAGCAGGGCAGGCAAGGATAGGATATCTGTGTGTGATCTTTACATGCTGACATTGCTAATAGTCACTTTTAATTATGAAGATAAAAGCTGTTGAGATAATTGTGGATAGCAAATTTCAAATGTAAATGCACTCAGGCAGATTGCCCAAAGAGGTCAGGGTGTCTCTATCCTTGGAAATCTTCAAAACCCCACTGGGCCCGGTCCTGAGCAGCCTGCTCTGGTTGACTCTGCTGTGAGCAGGGGGTTGGACCGCACGATCCCCGAGGTCCTTTCCAACCTCCATGATGCTGTGCTTCTGTGAAGTGAAAGGTTGAAGACATCACTTAATTACAGAATCACAAAAAAAGTTTAAGGAGCTATTCTGTAACCAAACTTGGCCTGTGGTGCTAGGGGACGAGGAGACTTTGAAGCACCCTGGGGTCTGTGGAGGGTGAATACACCGATCCTGCCTGCCGGCAGTGCCTGCTAAGCAGGAGCTTGCGGTGCGCAAGGAATAAAGCGGATCTTGAAGGAACAGAATCATCTGGTTCAATGGAATAAAAGGGAATACATCTTTCCTAAACATTTTTCATAAGGGATCTGAAAATGGCTTGCTTAAAAAAATATCACGCACACAAACACACACAGTGTATGGTCTGAGGGCTGTTGCTTATACCTGGCTTTTGCAGACTCCCACATCTGTGGTAATTTCCACGTAAGAGTCTGTAGGCAAAATTTTGATCTAGGATCAAAAAAAACCTTAAAAACAGAGCATCCAAGACCTAGTGACCCGAGTAACTTCAACAGACGGAATCAGCTGCTGACATGAAATAGCCCCACGAGAACTGTCATTATAGCATCCCATCAGTGAGTTTGCCCAGTAGCTCCCCCAGAGAAAACGCAGATGTTGTACATGGGTGTCCTGGGGCCCTTCCATCCTCCTCCTCTGCAGAACAGAGGGGTGCCGCCTTCTGCTGCGTCAGAGGCCGTTGCTGCTTACCGTGAACGTGTCAGGGATGGTTGGCTTTGCCTTTTATTGACGAGGCAAAGAAGACACTGATGCAGCTGCTTCTTGCTGATGGTACAATTTCAGTGATTTTTCAGCCTGTATAAGGATGATCAAACTGCCGATTCCTTTACAAAGGAGGTTGTTTTCTCCTTCAGAAGCTGCTAGTGTGGTTTTAGGGCACCAAAATTAGTGTGTATGTTGCTTGTTGAGTCCCTAGAGGTACAAGGACAGACAACCTCAGAGTGCCTTCACCTTGCTCTTCTTTGCTGCCGTTCAAGATTTTAATTTCCCTGCTCTTTGCACGTTAACAAATGTCCAGCCTGCTTGCTTCTTACAAATTGCCACTGAATTTTGAAGAGAAAGAACATGTATGGATTACAGGTGTCTTGAGGGCCATCTATATTCATCATCTGGGATATAATACATTGTCTAATGGTAGAAAAGTAATTTTAAAAAGTACCTGCTGTCTCTCTTGGCTTTTCTGCTCTAATGGCAAAAGAGTGCTGCAGCTGACCTGTAGTGTATGATGTTTTTAACAGGAGTCATTATTATATTCCATGGCCAGCCCTGTAACAAGTGTTTTTTGCAACCATTTCTGATTTTTAGTATGACAAGTCTTGTCTAACAGGCATGGCTTGATGTAGAAGGCACGGCAGAGGGACTAGGAAAGGTAGCGGTATTCTCATTTAAAATTCTGTTTTGCTTTCCCCTAACTGCAGCCAAGAACAGAGCTGATGGCTCCTGGTACGTAGAATTGTCCTGGGCTGCCTGTTGGTCACAGACGCTGTGCAGAGCGTTACGTCAGTGAAGTGCTCATTATTCTGATTTGTAGTGGGACAGAGGGTCAGGAATTCTGGGTACGTCCGTGCTACAGTCAGAGCTGCGACCTCCTTTATAAACACCCAGCAGAGCTTGAAGCGAACTGCCTGGGATACCGATTGCAGAGTATCGTGTCAGGCTACACCAGACTGCATGGCCCAGCTTTAGGGCTAAAAAAGGCAACTGACTTAGGTCTTGGGGCCAGTGGGAGCATAAGCAGATTAGAGCAGTAGTGCAAGGTCTTGAACAGCAGCGCATCCACAGTGATCTGATTTACAGAGCTGTGGATCGTGCCAGGGAGATGAGGTGGATTTTCCCACTTCAAGAAAAGTCAGTAACAGGGTAGGATTTACTGTGCTGCCCACTATGCTCCTCATCCTGTCCTCTGCTGACAGGACATCTCTCCATCTTTTATCATTTCTTTCTGTGTACGTGAGAAATTCCATGTTTGAGAGTGTTTGAAAGCCAGAATCAGTTCTGATCTGTCTTTTTCAGCATGCTAAAGTAAAACCCCGGATCTAAACAACCCCGTACTTTGGCGTATCCAAATTTTAATGCTGAGACTTGAATCCGTGTGTATTTATTAACTACAAGGTATTAACTGTTGTTTAATTGTAAGCATCCCTTTTACTGTCAATGGATTCCTAGTGTGAAGGAAACCAGGGGCATCAGAGAGTGCTTCTGAAGCCTTAAGCGCACTGCTTCCCAACCAAGAGCATGAAGGTTTGTCAGAAGAAAAGCTGTTGTCCCTTCTCTGCCTGCTTCATCTCTGCTTGTCTCTCTCAAAAGAGTTGGTGGGTAATTGTACTCAATCAAGTATGCATTTAAGACTTGAATTGCTGCTTTTAGGTAGAGCCCCCTCATTCTGTACTTCAGAGTCACTGAAAAACAATAGAGAACTGAAGATGTAAAATTCAGTCCGTGAAAACGTGCTTTGCAGTCCTAGTTAACTATCTCATTGTCCGGGTCTTCTTAATCCTTTCAAGTTGTGGAAGAAGAAACGGTAGAGTTAGTGTGTGTCATTTATCAAGAAGATAACAGAGCATTAGGCACGGAGCTGGCCATTGACCTGTCTGTACTGCAACTTCAACATCCAGCAAAAACAGAAAAATGGTTGGGATAAAGGTTAAATATCAGGTGCCTCCGGTGAAGTAATCCAATTTCCATTAAACCCTTCAGGTTTAGTCCAAGCCGCGTTACCTCACGGTTGGGCAGGCACACACAGACAGTGCCTGTGGCCCAGCGGAAAGGTGACAACTTGCTGAACTGCTGTAACTTGGACCAAGCCTCTCACCATAGGTGTGGAGACCCGATGAGGGGCGTGTGGAGCAGCACGTGTGAGACGCCGAATTGCAGCCTGCCTGGAGCAGCAGCGCTGCTGTTAGATGACACGAAACCCCTGTGTCTTCTGCCCTACCAGCCCCTTTCCCTTCCTACCCACCTTTCCGTATCTCAGAGGTCTTTGTCACCTTCGCCGCATCAGACTGCTCCCTGAACGACGGCGTTACTCTCCTCTGAGCGAAGTTGCCACTGGCAACAGCAGCCTCTACAAACTGACTGCAATGAATGAAATTTGCCGTAGTTCTTCCAGAGAAACTTTGTCGTGACAGAAGAAGTGGAAGCACAAGCAGTGCTGTTAGCCGTGTGAAACGGAGTCTGCCTCTGGTTTTTTATGGATGTATCATACTGCCGTGAGGGTTCTGTTCAGCCACCTGAAAACGTTCAGCAAGATCAGCTTCAACATTTGGTTTCTCCCTCTGATTCACTGAAGAACAAAACCTGCCCTGGCTCACTCAGATGGCTGATGCTTTTGGGTGCTGACAGCGTGCAGGCATAAGATGCTCCAGAGCGTTGTCATCGTGACGACATAAGGGGGATTGTGTTCGTGTTAGGGATTATCTTGATTGATTTACCAGTTCCACAGAATAATGTGAGGGTGTTTGTTGCGTTAGTTGTGCTTGCCACAAACAAAGAAGTCTATGCTCGTTGTGATATACATGAAGCAATCTTTTTAAATAACGGACTGGACCTGCGTTTAGGAGGGGGAGATGCTCTTGTAAGCTTTTTAATTGTTCCGGCATTGAAGAGGGACAAAAAACACTACTATTCATTGTGATGGTTATGTTCTACAGCACACAGTTGCTTTCTTTGCTTGGGTTTTTTCATCCTGATGATACAAGCTTCCTTTTTAAGCAAAATTTCTTTCTAACCCAGTATATCCCCTTGGGAGGTTTCAGCGCCTTGGCTGGTTGACAGTGTGATTGCAGATATTGGCTTTTTTAAACAGATTACTAAGGTGGCTGAATGTGCTATTGAGATTTAGCCGTTGTTATTGGGACTGGTGTTCCTGCAGATCTGGGGTGGGAATTTCAGTTTAATCACTGCAAGTTAGAGTTATGAGGTTCAGATAAAACAACAAATATTTGCAAATATTGCAAAATAACAATTATGTGGCTGGAGCCTCTGGAGAGATGTAAAATTCACCTCAGGCTATTATTTGGTGAACATGCTTTCCAGTTCTTAACTTGCCTTGCAGGATCCTTCTCTCAAGGAACGCTGGTGCTTTAGCAGCGCTTTGCTGTCCCCAAGAGAGCTGATGATTCATGCAGATGTGAGGGGGGATCTGAGTAACCTTTCCAGGCGCTGCTCACCAGTGTAGGTTTCAGGAATGATCAGATCTTTGGGATGAAATTTTTCCAGACAAGCTTCCTCATTTTTATCTCGTTTCCTCACCCACAGGACATGGTGGTTGGAACAGGACTTTAGTTGTACAGAGATTCTGTGTGTCTTGGCCCTGTCGTTATGCTGCGAGTGACATACTGGCTGTTGTTCTTGTAATGTCTGAACAAGTTCATATCCTATTGTGGAGAGAGCCAGGAAACCCAGAGCCGCTCAGAATCTTCACTGTGGAGGTTTTCAGGACCGCTACAGAGGGATTTAAAATTATTTTACTTAGAAAAGTTAATAAGTCAAGCTGCCTGACAGTATTCATGGATGGTGTTGTGCCCATTTGCCTGAACAAGGAGTAGATGCAGAAAACAATAGCTTGCGCAGTGTCACTTGGATAGTAGTAGACACGAGTAGAAACTAGATTGTCAAACTTCATTTTGGCCTGTGCTCCTGTTGCACTATGCCAATAAAGAACGTCGTTCACGTATGATGAGGAGGGAGATCTGTCAAATTAGATTGCCTGAAAAGGGATTTAATTTAGAGCACTCGTTGAACAGCAGCAGTTCATTACTTGAAGGTAAAGAGTTAGTGTACGAGTGCTGTGTGTACACACACAAGGATGTGATGCTCGGGCTCGGAGGTAACGCGTGGGGGCCCACAGCTGTGCAGTTCCCTACTTCCCTTCCTCTCCGGAGCTGTCCCTGCTCAGTGTGTCATTCGTC